CATTGCCTTTCTTTGTGCTCTCTGCAGACTTTTCCTCTTCCTTATAATGTCGATACTCTGGTTTTAATTCCCACATGTTCCTGTGAGGATTTTTTAAATTATAATTACAAACTTCATTGAGAATTTCCTTTAGATAAACCTGAAATTTTTATATAATATTAGTATAATATTAGTGTTAGAAAAAAAATTTTAATTTCTAAAATAAACAACATATTCTCTAAAATATCATATAAAGATAACAATATACTTACAATAGGTTGTCTTGTGATTTTTACAAGGTCCCTTATATTATAATATTGGTGTTTTTCAAATGCTGCAAAAAGCATATCTAGCACAGCATCTTTGTCATCTCTCATTTTCTTTCCTTCTGCTTTTTTCTTTTCAGCATATTCGATCTATAAAATGTTAACTATGTGTCAAAAGTCAGTTTAACGACAAAAAAATTAATAAAAATAATGCTTACATTATGTTTATGATCAGATACAGGCTTGAAATTTTGCACAACTCTATCTAACTGTTGAACTTGTCTTTGTGGTACAGATGCTCTCTTAATACTTTCTAATTTTAATTTCATATAACAATTATCGGCTAAAAAAAATTTCATTTTATTTTAACATAATTTGTTTTTATAAGAAAATGAATATATATATATACAAATTTATTTGGATAACTACTTGAACACTTTACGTACCATACGGTCTGCATTCTAATTTCTGTACAATCCTTCCTTCCATAAAAAGTTTTTCTGTTTCTGGTACAATTGCATCTGAGCTTGTAGAAGCTACAAAATTAATAGGGCTATTTTAAAAAGTATCAAACTTTAAAATGACATTAAACTTACGGGCAACATGAGAAAACACTCCTAACATTTGTCTAGTAACTGTTGTAACATCTAGTCTATGTTGTTTCGGTATTTCTCCTTCTCCAGATTCTTTCAAAGCTAAGACAGCCTCTGACAGTTTAAGAGATACTTCAGCTTTCTGTCCAGGATTTCTAGAGAAAATACAAAAACAAAAATTAAATCAATCATGAATTAACATATTAAAGCAAATGTTTCCATAAGTAAAAAATTATAACAAAACGACTACAAAATTTTACGAGAAAGGATGTGAATAAAAGAAGGAATATAAACTATGATGTGTTCGGGGAGACGCTATTAGCGCTATTTGTTATTCTATCTTCATCGTTTATTAGATGTTAAACAAGGATAGAATGACACAAATAGCGCTAAGTGTCTCACCGAATGCACCTTACGTATTAAGATTCTACATAAATTTATGACTGTTCTTATCGTACATATTAATAGCAACAAAATCAGATATAAAATAAATTTTATAATAGAAGTAAAAGAAATTATATTAAAGACGAAATACTTTCATTTCGAAAGAAATACTCTTCTAAATAAACTCACTTGGTGATCTTCAATTTGCCGACTTCTATATTACCAGGCGCCTTTTCCCACTTATTAGCTATATACTTAGGCACTTTAACAAGCCACACACCACGACCGGCATTACTCAAATCTAATTCTCTTTCCGTGTGCGTGACACCCGCGGACATTTTATTGCTAGGTATATTTCTTAAACGCTTAAGCTTTAAGACACAAATTCATGTATTGCTAAAATAAAGAATTGGAGGTAGTGACAGTGATGGACGATCCCGATATTCTCGATCTAATTTTTATACAAATCGATTCTATTGCTTCGATTAATCGATTTCATCGATCGATCTTGCAACTTCGATAATCTAATGAATAAAGGCCATCACACGTATTGCGAGGTCTACAATAGTAGTCGTAGCAGTCGTAGAGTCTTAAGTCGTAGAAAATTGACCAATCACTGTCGAATATGAGAAGAATAATCAACTGTGATTGGTCAATTTTCTATGACTTAAGACCCTACGACCGCTACGACTTCTATTGTAGACCCCGTATATGTACAAAAATTTTAGTCGTAATCGTAAAGCCTTGTATCCACAATGCTAGAAATTGGTCCGAGATCTCGGACGGATTTCTAGCATCGTGGACACTGGGCTTTAAGGCCGTAAGCAAATCGGCCAATCACAGTCGAGCGTTTTTAAACACGAGATCGTAATTTTGATTGTGATTGGTCGATTTACTTGCGACCTTACAATTACGACTAAAATTTTTGTACTTGTGATGGCCTTTAGTAATTTCAAGCAACACGAATAGACCTACGGCCGGAATCAGACTACTCATTGAAGATTGAGATTGAAGATTAAAATTTGACCAATCGAAACCAAAGGAGTTAAAATTCCTTTGTTCTCACTGGTCAAATTTTAATCTTCAATCTTCAATTGCAGGGCGCCGTCACATGCGGCGTAACCTGCGTAAGCGTAACCTGCGTATTCTAATAATTTACTAGAATACGTTATTTTTTATTTACTAGAATACGCCATTCTGAAAGCCGGCATTCACATTGAGCGTATTTCGCGGAAGATTAGAGAAATGCGGAACTAATGCAATCAATTGCTGATTAGAATTTCTGTTGTACACTCTAAGGCCGGAATCAGACTATGCATTGAAGATTGAGGTTGAAGATTGAAGATTGAAATTTGACCAATAAGGACAAAGGAATTTTAGCTCCTATTGTTTTGATTGGTCAAATTTCAATCTTTCAATCTTCAATCTCAATCTTCAATGCGTAGTCTGATTCCGGCCTAACAGAAATGCTAAACGAATTTACGATTGATTTTCGTAACCTACGCAACTCGAAAAGTACGCCTCATGGGGAACCGGTACTTTCTATCGCGTACATACAATACGCGTTTGTACAAATTTAGAAGAAGAAAGTCTGATTTATAATGACCGTAACCGTTAACTTATCCCGGTGCCGGTAAAGTTCAACCATAGGATTTCAATGCTTTCGTTCAAATTAAAGAAAATTAAAGAAAACGGCGGAATCGGCGGAATGAAGCCACGACCAATCAGGAACGTTCCGCAGTTCCGCATTTTCGTAGTTCCGCATCCCATGGGACCGCGCCATAAGTGCACCCTGGTTTTTTTGCAATTAATGTGCGTTTCCTAACCTAAAAATTTATGTTTTATACCGTTTTCATATGTACTTTTGTTTAATATATTTACTTCGTGTTATCGTTATTAACATACTGAATAAATCATAATAATGCTGAGTCTTTTAAACAGGTAATATTAATTCGTTAAAATGATTTTGTAATATATTTTTTAATTAGTGTATCGAAACTGAATAATTACTCTAGATTCTTTCGTTTTATATGAAAACACGTGGAATGAGCATAATTTTATTGAAATTGAAGATGGGATGTGTCTTCTGGATAATTATCCTAGTATTATACTTTCAGACAAATTTGGCAATGAAATTTATATGTATATATTATTTGCTACAGCAAATCATTAATAATCCACATAAAGCGATAAATTATGAAGGAGCGCACAACAAAACAATTACAGCGATTAGAAAAGAAGAAAGCAAAGATGGCAGCATTTTTGGAAATTGCAAGACTCAATGACAAAGATAAAGAAGCAAAACTACAAGCTATAAAACAGGTTTATATTTAGATCTAAGAATAATTTAAAATGATACTCTTGTGATTAGCTTTATGAAATCATTTTTAGACAGTAGCCACCATTGATGGATTTAACAATCCAAACAATAATAATAATACAGCAGGAGATAATTCTCGTAAACGAACTTGTGAAAAAAATTCAGAAAATATATATTTAGAAGCTCGTAAGGAAGAAAATACTGATGGATCAGAATTACAGGATAACACTAAAAAACCTAGGTAATTTTATAGATTTATAAATAGGAGGATTTGTAGATTTATAAATCTTGCCTTGGAAGTAGTGAACAATAACTGTTTGTCAATTAGGATTTTTTTTAAATATATCAGCTTAATGTATAAACTTTTATTTACTTTTTTATATAATCCTAATTTCCTTGTTATTGTCTTAGAAATTTGAATATATTGTGATAGAACTCTGTTCCAGCTGCTAAAGACAGCGATGCACTACTTTTAGATTGCCTGCATATTGTAACAGTTTTGTTTACAGTCACATGTCTGTTTGTCTTAATTTCATCAACTCTTGTTGCGTTCACTTGATATTTATTGAAACAAAAATCTGTAAATGAAGTTGATGTATGTGGTTTTTCCATAACAAAAAATCCTAGTTTATAAGAAATTGTTAATTATTACTTTTTTTATAATATGATCCTTACACACACACACACACACACACACACACACACACACACACACACACACATACGCGCGTATGTACACACAGATTAAGTGATAGCCAATATGCGAGCTTGAAGGAAGAACTTAGAAAACGCAAGAAGAGGCTTCAAGCAATTCCAAGACTCACTCTCAAAGCAGTTGGCGAGAACGCTATTCTGGATGTCGGAAACTTGGGAAAGAGAATACCAATATTTCTTAGTGATATACAGCATCTGCTGTTGTATTCACTACTTGGACATCATTCTCCTTACTTACCAGCGAGATGGTGTAAACTTGAGAAGTATAACAAAGTAATCTTGGCCAATGTAGCATGAAACTTTCAAGCAATACTGTACTTTAGAGATAGTTTAATTCACAATATTCAATAATTCTAAGTAAATAATTTTCTTCAAAGATAAGCCATACTGTAGTCATCGTGCTTGAAGGGTTGTCTTCATATCATTTTATGGCTTATGAGAGCATGTTTCCACACATAGCACATAACTTAAAGCATCGTTTAGAGGTGATAACGCCAGCTGTCTATGGTGCATCCATAACAGAAGAGCTTGCAGCTGTTCCTTTAACAGGAACACAAAGCGATAAACTAATTAAACGTATGTTATATAAGAGTAAAATATGTTTTAACACATTTTCCATTAAAATAAATATTTAAGTCTACTCCTATATGAAATAAAATATTCTAGTTGAATACTAGTGAGAACATATATTCATAAAATATGTAGCTATAAAATTCTATAACATATTAATTTCGAATATCGATAAAAATATATATTTTAATGACAATGAAAGATAATTTTTCATTTCTAGGATATGGCTCCTTAGAAACTGCTTTGCAAACAAATGGAAATGTCATAAAACTGCTAAGAAGCGTTTTTCCAATGCATTCAATAAAAAACGATATAAAGTTTTCTACAAAAAACTTGAACGAAAATTTACCACCAACTGATAAATTTTGTAGAACAAAGTTGCTTTTATCGTTATGGCAAATGGTGGAAGAAAACTATCCTGTACCATTGAAAGGAACATTAGCAGAAAGGCAAGGTTTTACTGTTCTTTTCTTTCTGAAAAATTTGTTTTAAAAGTGCTGAAATTTCGCTGTAAATAATTTTGTTTAGAAAAGTTGTAAAAATCAGTTTAGGAACCACCCATGTATGTTTGCTGTATATAAAATATGCAATTTTGTTTTCATATTTATTTAAATTATGTCAACATTTTTACTAAAATTTCAACGAATTTTTTAGACAAATTTTTCCAACAGGGACAGATGTTAATTATATTTTTATAAATTTAAAGTTAACGAATTAATATATAATTGTAGATACGGTTCATATATATTAACAAAAGATGTTTATGAAGAGGCTACATCAACATCACCAATGTTTGGCTTAGACTGTGAAATGTGCTTAACAACAAGCGGCAATCTTGAACTCACTAGAATAAGTATCGTAGATGAGGATATGAATGTAAGTACAGTATTATATAGTTTGTGCCTAGACAATAAAAGCATGCAAATCGATTTAATTACAGGTTATTTACGACAGCTTAGTGAAACCTGAGAATGTGATAACGAATTACCTGACTCGGTACAGCGGTATTACTGAGGATATGTTGGATGATGTCACGATTACATTGCACGACGTTCAGCAGACAATAAGGACGTTACTTCCTCCAAATGCGATTCTCGTAGGACAAAGTTTAAATTCTGATTTGCATACATTAAAAATGATGCATCCTTACATTATTGATACCTCTGTAATATTTAATCTCACCGGGGACAGGTACTGTAAAATAACATATATCGATATCAGTGAATGTAGGTGCATTTCATTTAATGCTCTCTTATCTAACACAGGTATAGGAAAACGAAATTGCAGATTTTGGCGCGCGAGTTTCTCGGAGAGAGTATTCAAGACGATAAAGCTGGACATTGCTCAACAGAAGACTCGAAGGCTTCTATGAAATTGGTGAAGTTAAAGTTAGCGAACAGTGTGAATTACGGTGACGCTGTATTGCTTGGTGATCGCAGCATGAGAATCTTAAAAATGGAGATTAATAACGAGACGACAAAGCGGGCATTGCAAAAAACAGAAATAAAGAAATACGCCACGTCAATATTCAGTCATATAACGAAAAATAAAGGCACCACTGCCGCTATCGTGGGTAACGATGAAGTGATATCCGAATATTCTAAGTATTTAACGAACTCTTCTCTCAATGTCATGGACGATGAAAGTTTCGCAAAGGATGATCAAGTTAGTATGCATCTACAATATATTAAACGTTTCTAATTTAAACGAACGTTTATATCTATCAAGAAACTAAAACAAACTGGAAAAACATAAGACGAAATTGTTTTTCATTAATTTAACATTGATTTTCGATAATTGTAGGTACGTCTTGTGATAGCAGATAGCAATAAACATGCCGTAGATCGAACTTCTGAAATAGCGATGGAGCATGCTTTTGTATTGTGCCATGTGAAGCTTAAAGAAGAACAATTAAAAGATGAACAGCTAGAGGAAACGTTTCGCACTGTAAATAAATGGATTCACAAAGTTTGGCAATATAGCGCAATAAACAGTCTTGCATGCGTGATATTCAGTGGGCAAAATAATATTGCGAACGGTTCTTGTTTTTTAAATATTAAAACAGAGATATCATCGGATATCGTCATAAGAGCTTGAAAAATGGAATTATTAAACCATCTCGACCACAGTGCGTAAGAAAAATTTCGTTAATATTTGATACAGTAGTATCAAAAGAACTTATCTGGCTATGTATCAGTTTAGATAAATAATACACTTGTATAAATTTTTGTTAATAGAAATATATTTTGTAATCTTCACTTATTTAGGATTGTTCTTGCGGAACATACTTATTTCTATAACGCATCTTGGAATAGATTTCTTACTTTATAAATTTCAATAAATGGATCAGTTTATTACATATAGAAATACACAGTAAACGTGCAATACAAAACTAAAACATACAATTATTCCCCTAATAAATCTGGTTTAGAATTGTTTTCGAGAAATGTATCAAACAGTAATAAAATTCTAAATTATAAACACAATAACTTATACAAGTTTCATAATCTTTTAAATTCAGAAAATATTGAAGTACGTTACACACATTCGGACAGTAAATCTAAAAATAACATATACTTAATACATATTAAAAAACCTATTATTTGGGCTGACTCATTTTCTCGCAAAACATCAAATAGGACGACATTGGTTCTCTGTTATTTCTAGTAAGCATACGTTTTCTGAACGAAGCTGCAGTAACAGTTTCTTTTGACTGTTTTTTAGTCTCTTGCAAGTTTACTACACTGAATTGCGTGGTGCAACCAGAAGTATTCAACGTGTTATCACGATCAGCGGTCGTCACCTTTACTTTACTCGTGGTTGCTGATGATACAATTTTTTCTTTGTTTCGCGAAGTTTTCTGTCTTTTTTTCGCTTTTGTTGGCACATCCGCAAGATTCTCGATCACATCGTCCGGTAGTTGTTTCAGACCGCTTGAAGGCAGTAAAAATTTACTCTCTTCTTTAATTTCTTTTTTTGATTTCTTTGTGGGAATATTCACATAGATCGCATTTTCGACATCTTCATTTCGATTGCGTTTCTTCTTGGACCTCGATTCTTCAGTATACACCTTTGCATCAGTTTCGTCTAGTTCCTTAGTGTTACAGGCTACATTTTTCGATTCATTCATACCTAATGCAGTTTTTTGTAATCGTAATTTATTAGACAATAAAATTTTCTCAGACTTTAATCTTGAAACTGGAATTTGTACTGGCAAAGTATCCTCCTCCTTCTTCTTTTTCTTTTTCTTCTTATTCTCTGTTCGCAAAGTTTCAATATTCTCCACTGTCTCTTGCCGTTTAATTTTCTTTTTTACTTGCTTTTCTTGTTTATCTGTAAGTAAATCCAACTCCAAACTATTAACGATTTTATTTTTCTTCTTGTGCTGTGGTAACTCTGTTCTATTCCCGCGAATGTTTCGAAGCATATTATCTTTGTTTACATTTGTATTTTCTTCAACTATATTAATTTGTTTCTTTTTCTTCTTAATCTTATTGATTTGACACGCGTCTTCACAAGTATTATCCTCTACGATGGATAATTGAGTAAGCTTAGTACGTTTCTTCTTTTTAGGAATCTTTATTTCTATAACATCTGTAGCTAAAGGTTTATCGATTACATGTTCCTTTGATATATCTTGTTTTTTCTTTTTCTTTTTTCTCTCATTAATTTGATATACGTCTTCACGAATATTGTCCTCTACAATGGGCAACTGGATAAGTTTATCACGTTTCTTCTTTTTTGGACTTTTTAATTTTGTTATATCTTTAGACCAAGCTTCACGGATAATATATTTCATTAATACATATTGTTTTAGCTGTTTCTCATCACTATGAGATAATGATACATCTTCAAGAGTATTGTCCTCTACCACAGATAATTGAGTAAGCTTGACAGGCTTCTTCTTTTTAGAAATATTTAATTCTATAGCGTTTTCAGCTTTATCAGTGATATTTGCCTTTAATTTATCTTTCTTCTTCTTTTTCTTATTAATCTCACACGCATCTTTGGGGATATTATCCTCTACAATAGTTAATGGAGTTAGCTTGACTTTCTTTTTTTTAGGAACATTTAATTCTATTATGTCTTCAGACAAAGCTTCATCGCTCATATTTTTGTTTGACAATTCTTGTCTCTTACGCTTTTTCTGTTTCTTTTGACTACATTTTTGTATGACATCGTCATTAGACGGTATTATCAAATCATGTACTTTGTCTTTATTTTTCTCTTTTATTTTTATTTGTGTAGTATCTTTTTCTGCAGATAATTGTTTCTGTAATGAATTGGTTTCTGTACTATATTCTAATTTAGTTGGCGCACTTTCGTTTAACTTTTCTTTTCTGAGGTATTTTAACCTTGGTGTTTCGATCTCTATATTCATTGTTTTACGTGATACTATCTTGAATAATTTTGAAGGACTTGTCTCTTCTAACTTTTCCAATAAGTTAGGTGAAAAATCGCTTGATATCTTTTTTTTATTTGCATCTTTAAACTTCTTCAAACTGATATCTTTATTTAATGTAAGGGCCTTCTTTGATTTATCCTTAACTGAAATATTTTGTGTTGTTTTAAACGTACTGTTTGACTTATTAGCTTTATTTTCCGGAATTCTTTCCAATGTTTCATCAAGTTCTAATTTCTTACAGCTGTTGAAATCTGGGATACTTAATTCCATTAACGCGTTTAATTCCGACAATTTTGCAGATGTTGATTTAAATTTATTTAATTGTTCACTCAAGTTTTGTTCAGCTCCATCTTTTGAATATTGCGGATCTAATATACTTTTCTTTTTAAGCGATGAAGAGATTAAGTTACAAGTATTGAACAAAATAGTTTCATTTTCCTTCGTAAGGGATTTCTTTTTCTTCTTCTTCTTAATCGACAAGTCTGAATTTGATGAGTCTTGTAAAATAGATTTTTCATTTTTCCTCATACTAGATTTTTTCATTTTTATGTCTTGTTTTGTTTCTGTTTCACTTCTACAAGGTGAAATATGTTCGATAGATATGTTCTTATTTTCATGAGTTTTGGATAGTTTATGAGAAGTACTGGCATATAAAGAAACAGCTTCCATTTCGGATTTATTTTGGTTTGTGTCTTTGTCTGCTGTATCCTTTTTCTGTACATCTTCATTGTCTTTATTTTCGATATTTATTAATTCCGTGTTAAAATTCGCTTTTTCTTTTTCATCTTCCACTTTTTCCTTTTGTACAACGTTATCATCATTTTCATTATCTTCTTCATCGTCATTTTCTGCTTCAATGTCATTATCTTCTTCATCATTTTCTTCTTTCTCATTTTCTGCTTCAATGTCATTATCTTCTTCATTTTCTGCTTCAATATCATCAACTATAAAACCTTCAAGATCTGAACCATTGTCATCAGAATCTGAAAATTCTACTTCTGAATCTCTACATTCATCAGCAGGTACATCATCATCAGAAAACTTTAGTTTCAATCCATCCAGATTGTATTCTCTATTGAGGCTATCAGAATAGCCGTTACTATCATCAGTATTGCTTTCACTGTTTGCTTTTGTAAATGAGTACCTTGAAGTTATACATTCATCGCTATCCGATCCCATATTTGCTATCATAGAATAAGTTTTAGATCCAAGATTCATAGCTACTATGTTTACACTTATATCACTATCATCACTTCCATCATCATTCAAATGTATTGTTTTCCTAGTATCTGTCGGCTCTGATTCCTGATCCACCGAATGATTTAAGGATGTATTTTCACGTTTTTTACTGCAATCTTCAGTTGCTACATTCTTCTTTTCAGATTTGGTTGCATCATCATCTGTATCTTCAGTACACGATTGATCCAAGGAATGTTTTTTCTTATGTAATTTTTTCTTAGTACTTGCAGCTGTGTCGTCAAATTCTTTCTCTGAATTATCTATTTGAGATTTACTTGGAGAAATATTTTGCATAGATATATCTTTCAAAGATTTGTTTAATGATGTTCTTTTTCCTGTCGATTTTCGTAAAGATATATTGTTTTTACTTATTAGCGAACTTCTATTTAATTCATTTGCATCATCTTCAATTTCTTTATCTAATTCACTTGCTTTAGAAGATCGTCTTTTTGTTTTTCCTGACTGTTCTGATTTATTTAATCTGGAAATGGATCGGTCATTAGTTCGATTTAAAGCTGTTTTGGATTCATTTAAAGATTTATCAACAGGCATTAAATTATCTTCATTTTCTGTGTATCTAGAAATTTCTTCATCTATTTCGGATACAAGTCTCTTTTTAGTTCTTGACTTTCGTTTTTTTACTTGTTTTCCGTTTTTTTCGTTAAAATCAATATCCACTGGAATTTCTTCATCTATGGTGACTAATTTTTCAATATCATAATTCGTTTGTGACGCGTCTAACCGACTCTTTAATAATACAGTGTCATCGGAATCGTATTCAAAAGATTCTGCTTCATTTGCCGCTTTTATGGTTTCAGCCGCCAACCATGCTTGTCTGTCCATCAAGATAAGATCGTGTTCAGCTTCATTTTCATTTTTCACCTCTTCCACTAATTGGGAGGTAGACTGCATTGAACCAGTTTTATCATCATTTTTCTCCTTCCATTTGTCAGCGGGGATATCTTGGAATAAATTAATGCCGACATTGACATCAGAAACATCATCAGCGACATTTATTTTTTCTTGATCCTTTTGAGTCATTTCCATTTGTAAACATTCCTTTTCTCCCTCCAAATTATCTGTACTTTTTCGTTTTAAATTTGGTTTCACTTTTTCTGACAAAATATCTTTTAAATCTGTTTTCTCAAATGATATATCCATTGTAGATTTTTTAGATGCTTCTATTACATCAGTAAGTTGATTATCTTGAATTACTGCATCATTTGAGTCATTACATGCGGAATTATTTGTCTCCAGGACAATATCAGAAGATTGGGACATTGACTCTGTTTCTTGTTTCAATAAATTTTCCTGTTCTTGTTCTATAGAATCAGAACTGTCAATTACTATTGTCTTATCTTGAGTTAAAGCTGATTGTTTATCTATTACAGTAGCTGATTCAGCAGAAGTTTTATTAATTGGTGACAATATTTGTAAATCTACTGATTGATCAGGCTTAGAGTATGCTACGTTTGGCGAAACTTTGTTATCACTTCGATGTGGACTTTGTTCTTCTAATATTAATTTTATTTTATCATCATCTGCAGTTATAATAGAAGCGAGACTTTCTCTACTATCACTTATCTGTTTTGACGTAATTAGATTTATAGATAAACGCGATGTTTTATCTACTTCATTTGACTTAATTTTGTTAGAATTTTTGTTATCTGTAATAGTACATTCTTTTGTATCAGTTTTCTCTAATTCGCTAATTATTTCCATTGCATCCTCATTATAAGCAGATGTATTTTTAGTAGATATTTCATCTTTGTTAGTAACTTTATCAACTACTTCTGTCATGATACTATCATGTATCAAAATGGTTTTATCTGAAGCACTTGAATTTATAGATTCTATAGAAATATCCATTTTTTCTTGAGAGATATCAATAGTTTCTTTTGACAGATCGCTATGTTTAATTGAAACTTCTGTCGATTCTCTTGAGCGACATTTCTTATTTAAGTTTAGTTCCTTTTTCATAGATTTAGTTTCCTTCTCACTTAATAATTTATTCATAAAAGGTGAAGTAAAAGATTTGATAGAAGATGTCGGCTTAGGCTGCATAAGCTTTTCTGCTACATCACTAATAATATTCAGCATTTGATTTTCCTTGTTACTTTTTTCTTCCTCGATAGAAGTACCTGATAAGTTTTCGGGCATAACTTCCATTTCTTTATTTGATTCACATATATCAAGTAATGATTTTTCGATATCTGGAAGATTTTCAACAATTTTTGTGTCTCCTTTTGTGGAATTTCGATGATTTGGAGAAGGGTGGGTAGAGAATTCTTCGATTATATTCTTGTCGGATGGTGCAGTTTCTTCAAACTTCTTTTGCTCTTTATCTACAAACACAAATATATATAAATTATCATTTATCCTACGTCATTTGGGCTAAGTTGTTCCACCTTTTGATAAACTTTGACTCTCTTACTCTTATGCTTTTACTCTCTTGTTTAGTGTGCGTGCGTGCGTGCGTGCGTGCGCGCGCGCTTAAAAAATGGATTTTTTTCTCATATTTTATTTGTAGAATATTTTCTCGAAAGAATTTTTGAAATATTTCTTATATTAGCTCAAGTTACAACGGTTTGAAGTCAATTGTAAGTAAAAAGGTGACTTGATGTTACAATATAATAGGATCTTTTTAGGCAATTCCCTTTCAAATAAGCGATTTTTTGGAAACAATATTATAATAAAAATAAGACTCCTAAAGTTTGTTTCATAAATAGTAATATAATAGTTAGTGATATAAAATTTAAAACATTTTCGTATTTATGATTTAACATTATTTTGGAGTTATAAAGTATGTTAATTTTTGTATTCATTCTTGCCCTCTGATAAAAAAGATAAATGAGTCTTAAAATGAGATTAGAATATCATTTACTTATATGCAAAAGGGATTAGACCGTTTGGAGAAGCGTGCCCTTAATGTGATAAAAATGGTAAGAATAATTCGAAATTTAGAAGAATCGCTGAAATGGGAGTTTTGAGCAAAAAAAAATAATTGTTATTGGCCCAGGAATCGTAGATAAAAAATAAATAGCATAAATTTAACCTGTCATAAATTTTTGTGGAAATTATATCTTAAATTTTTCTCTATTTTTTATAACAATTTAAGTTAAAAAATGTAGTCGAAAAATTAAAACTTTTGTTCAATTAGTCACCGTTTTTATTTATATAAATTTATTTTAACAGGGAATTTTAATAGGGGCTATAGAAACATATTTCTTGATTATAAAACTTTTAGGTTTCTTACATCAGATGACTAGGAATGACGATAATCATGACTATCTCAGATGCGGTATCGAATTCCGCCTACTTTAATTTTTTGGTACTAGTTAATAAGATATCTAAATTTACAATATGATAAAAGTATAATAAAAAACAAACAAAAAACTTCAAAGCTACAAATATGTCTTTTAAGAAAAAAAAATTGTTTACCCTATTTTTCTGAGTCTTAAATACTCCCTTAAAATATAAATTTACATAGTTACAATAAAAGATAATGAATCTATCATTTGTCAAACAATTTCAAATATAATTAATGCAATGTATTTCTTAAAAAGCAAATATGTAATGTTAATTCAAATACTGAGATTTAAGGCAGTTTTTAATTTTATTTACCGAGAGTATTCTCAGTGTTCTTCGCTGTTTCTCCAGTAATGTTATCCTCAGTTTGTGTTGCATCCTTTTTCTCTGACAATTGAGATATTTCATCTGATTTTGATGAATCAGTTGAGGTCTCTAAATTTTCTATATAAAAAAAAAACCATAAAATTAATATGAAAGTACAAATATAAGGTAAATTTTATAGATAATTTTAGTTCATTATTTTGGTAATCTTATTACTACAATACTATTCTTTTACTCACCATGACTATAATCTTCTTCAACTTTATCCTTAACTATATTTTGAAGTTTTCTTTTAATTTGATGTAAGCGTTGTAACGCTTTATCTGGCGAAGAATCTGAATTTCCTGAATATATTTAACAAAACAAATTTGTTATAAAAATTATAGAAAAACATCTATATTAATTATAATATATATCAAGTATTATAGAGTTACATGCTAATATATTTTTAAAAAATTACCGGAATTTGTAATTTCATCAGCTTCAACTATTGTAGAATCCAATCGTACATAAGGTATACGATCACTCAGTTCAGTTTGTTCTTTAATCTGAGAACTTGATGGCAATACAGATGCTCGCCTATGTATTTTGTTTGGTGAATTAGATTGGTTCTTATTTTCAGTTAAAGATTCTGGATCAATAGACCTTGCTCTTGTATTACGTGTGATTCTAGTTGCTGGCAATGGTGACTTTGTCTCGGAACCAGCACGCATAAAGCGCTTACTGATAATTATACAAAACATTGGTTATAAATGTATCATGTACTATTAAATATTAAATATAAGTATTGACATATTAGCAGTACCTGGTTGCTCGAGTATTAACTCTGGTTGGTGTGCTAACAAGACTTGCAGTACCTGAACTTTGTCTTGTAGTTCGTTTTACAGGTGTTTGTGGAATATCAATGTCAATCTCACTAATTTCTGAAGAAATGGAATGCTTTCTAGTACGTAGCTTTTTCGTTGTATCTGAGGCAGTGGAATCCATAGTTGCTGTTCGTGTTCTAGTACTCCGAGTTGTTTGAATACTGCTGATACTACTATCACTTTCAGAACCTGGCGAATATTTAGTCTGTTTTATTCTGCTGCTTCGACGTAACGGAGAATTCACCGATTGTACAGTAAACATTCGGGTCTGCATACGACTTATAGCTACAACACAAGAAACATCAAAAGACTAAGCTAATCAAATTTGAAGACACTTAACTCTGTTTAGGAAGCATGCTATCAGCACTAATGTATCATTTTATCAGTAAATGTAAAATAAAGATAAAATGACAAGCAATGTGTTAATAACATGCTCTCTGAATACAGCCAAAGTTTGAATATTTAAGATCAAAGAAATAAAACAAAGATAATAATACACTGAGAAAAAAATATCTTAATTCTAAAGAAATATTTCTTTGAAATTAAGATATTTTTTCTCAGTGTATGCATTCTTAAATTTTAGCATTTTTTTATATTAACATATTTACATAAATAATTAGAAAAGTAACATATTAGATTTTGATTTTTCATTGTACATAATAAACATATATTCATTTATATATTTGTATAAATAATCAAGATAAACATTACAGTTCTCTATCTTATTTTTACAAGTTTAAAATTTACATACATACATATATATATATATAAAATTGCTAAAACCAAATGTAATCATATAAAGACTGAAAAGAATTTCTTTCAATATAGATTATTGCATCTTAGAATGTATGACATATGAATTTATCACGAATTAGAAAGAAAGCTCTTTTCAATTCATTTAAATTAATAATAAACATACATAAGGTCACAGATTGAAACCGTTAATAGAAGAAAATCGGATGCGGTTCTTGGATCAGCGAGAACATTCTAGCAAGAACAGCAATAATTTCGGAAAAGACGTTGAGACCAAAAGGAGAGAAAAAAACAAAGGTGAAGTTACGACACATTTGCGTTACAGCACAATCGATGACAACGAAAAATCGCACAACTCTTGGCACCGAGTCGATTAACCGACGCTTTTTGTCTCGTGCACATGCTGACAAGAAGAAATCAAGCAATATGTACCTGGTTTTGGCTCAAAGTCATCGTCTGAATCTTTCACGGAGCGTGACATTTTCGCGATCCTTTAATCATATATCGGACAAAAGACTAATGCCTTACGGAAAGAACAAATCTGAACAGAGAAGAAAGGTTACCGAAACCACGTGCTACTGCTTCCGTAAGAATTTGAACTTCACAAGCCATTAGCAAATTGGCGAAATTCCGAACAGCAACGGACAATGACGACCATAGATATAATAAAAAAGATGTACAATCAGCAGCAGGATTCGGGTGCTTCTCCATGACAGTCAGAATTTCGAAGAAGTAATACGACCAATCAGATTAGCGACTGCCATGATGACAATGGCTGCGTTCAGCAGAACGTTTGTTTTGCAACTGTTGGAAGTTTCCTTCGCGCTAATTGGATCATACTTTTAGATCTAGAAGAATGGTCCTATCTCAGCAGACAATCATAAAACGGTTGCAAAACTGTTGAGTCTGCTGAACGCAGCCATTATTAAAGACCGACATCGCAAACAAATCGACCAATCACAATCAAAATTACGAACTCGCGTTTTAAAACGCTTGACTGTGATTCGCCGATTTGCTTACCGCCTTACGATTGCGACTAAAATTTTTGTACGTGTGATGGCCTTTATGGGAGTTCGCGTCCTTGTTAATATTGAAGTGATTAAGAGTAAAAAAACTGATAATATTGTACTAATTTTATGATTTATTAGTTTAGTAGACGT